AATCAGACCTAGGACCCCTTTTGACCAATATCAGAATTCCGGCACGGTGGCTCCGCCGTGCTCCGGTGACAGCGCCGCCGCAAGCGACGGCGATTCGCCTCGGGTTGGCCGTTTTCGGCCACACTTGCGTCGGTCCCTGCGATAAAACAATCCTAAGGCCCTCAGTGGGCCAAAAAATACGAAAAACCGAAACTTGCCGGCGGCGGTGCTCTCGGGTGCGGCGGCTCCTCCGGTTTGAGTCGCGTTTTGATGTTTGGCTCTGATCAACCTGTAGAGAAAAAAACGGTGATCACAGTGGTATAAAATTTGCATCGAACGGAGGCCGGGAAGGGCCTCATCGGAGGAAAAAACAGAGGGGGGCGCGGCGGCGCCGCTGGGCTTCGGCTGGATTTTCTGGCCGTTTGGCCGGTGGTTTTGTCATAGGCGGACTCAGCATCGAAAAACGAGCCAGAGGGGTAAAATTTACCTCGATCGGCGGTCAGAAACTTCTCCGGTGCGGCGGCGGGTGGCGGCGACCGGCTCCTCCGGCGAGGCACTGGCGGCTAGGGTTTTGTGGTCAGGTGTGGGTGGGGTTATTTATATTCTTTGCCTTCTAATCTCACCCGTCCATCAAGATTATATCTGGGACCGTCTGATCGCGATTTAATTGGGATTAAATCTTGGCCGTCCATCGCGATGCAATCTTGGCCATCCGTGCCTGATTGAATCTGGGCCGTCTGTACGTGTGAATCTGGGCCGTCCGTGCACGCGGGAACGGATCTGGGCCGTCCGATCGCGCGCACACGGATCATCCACGTGGCCCGTCCCCTGGTCAGCGTTTTCTTGCCACGCAGCGTGTCCTGGTTGGCCGGGGCTGCTGACCGGGCCGCTGATGTGGCTGCTGACGTAGGTGCTGACGTGGCACAACTTTTCTAAATTACGTTTTGACCCTCGGTTTTCGATTTTCTTTTCAAAAATACCCCAAGAATCCAAATTTTCACCCATTTTTTCCAAAATCAAATTCAATTAAATCTAAATAATATTTTTACCCAATTTTATCATTATTATTATTATTATTTTTATTAAATTAAATTAAATTAAATCAAATTAAATTAAATAAAAATCTAAAAAATTCAAATAAATAAAAAATAATAAGATAAAATAAGAGGAAAAAAAACACTTGGGTGTTACAGTAGATAAAATATTTTTTAGTTTCTTATTTTTACTCTCATAGTTATGAGCATGTGTTTGATTTTATATATTGACAGATTTATGAGAGCTGTAATAATTAATTTGGTAAATCAAAATATTTTTTATTTTTTAAAATTCAATGTACTTATACATGTTTTTATTAATATACTTATATTACATTCTAAAATTTATAATTTTATTATTATTAATATCATCGCCATTATATTTACTGTTAATAAGTTAGATGGTCGTATAAATAAAATTTTTATAAATTAAGAAAATATAGCTTATAAATGATATAGTTCTTTACATATGAAATGAAGCTTAATGTTTTTAAAAACCTTAATTTAATTTGTAATTCATCTAAAACATAATAATTCCTAGCTCAAGCTTGTTTCAAATTTTGATTACATAAAATATAAATGAGAATATAATATAAATAGAATAGAAATTTGATGGAAAAATAACATTTTAATTCTAATCAATTTATTATCCAATTTAAGATGGTTTTTTTTTTTTTAATTTCTTAATCCATTGACTGTCTAGAATACAAATTAATGATTCTGAAATTAAAGATACGACTAAAATTATGTCAATTATACATCAAATTAATGTGTAAATATAAATAATTGTTGCATATTAATAATTGAATTGGGTGGAGAAAAAACATATTTAAACTAAATATAACAGATTAAATTTAGTTTAAATTTCAATTACATAGAATAAGGATACGAGTATAATATAAATATGATAAAATTTAAGTAAAAGTATACTTCTAATTGAAAGTTAATTATATGTGCAATTGCATCAGTATTTTGTATTTATCTTTTAATAAGAATATAATAAAATTGAATATATGGATGGAATTAATTTAATTATATATTAAATATACAAATTATGATTAAATTCTTTGTGCCAAATAATTTAAATTTATCAATTGGATGAGAAATTAATAAAATTGAATAAAAATATTCTGACTTTACCCTTTACAAAAGTAGATTACCAATCAAAAGTTTGTACTTAAAATTGGTCAAAGTAAACATTACAATTGATTGGGGCAGTTTGATTAGGCTTTTTCCCCCCTCTTTAGGCCCATTCGACTTTTAAACCCACCTTAATAAACTTTTGAGCTACATAAGAAAACATCCAACAAAAGAAATTTTGAGTGCAATGTAATAGTAGGATATGTCAATACAAATATATACATATATGTACATGGCTATCAACATATATCAATACAAATAGTAGGATGATGTGGGAAAAGTAACAAAAATTCAAAATCTTTACCTCATGCTCTGTCTTTTTACAGTCTTCAAAGGTTCTTGTAATTTGAAAGAATACGAGCTGAGATTATGAAGCACGAACATTGAAATAGACATCTTTTGCAACGTAGTCTCTCAATACAAGTTCTACCTCTTCCACCACTCCTAGTCTTCTCAACCACACAGCTAGTATTTCCGAAGCTTCTTTTTCAACATGAATACCATCTTTCTCCAGATCGATCAGTAGCTCCAAGGCCTCGCTTAGCTTGTTCTGTTTTTCGTAAACAGCCAAAACTAAAGCCACACATTTATCATTAGGTCGTAGACCTGCTTTCCTCATATTCTCAAATGCTACGAGTGCCTTCTGGCTTTGACCCGTCATTTGATAAGCATTGATAAGGAGTGCACAGTGCCTAACATCAGGAGATATACCAGCATATTGTATTGCATCAAATAATCTTTGCGCACCTTCTGCATCACCAATCATGGAATATGCTCTTAAAAGTGCCTTGTAAATTTCATTTCCTGCATAGATTTCTTGGGCCTCCATTTCTCTGAGTAAAACTTCTCCTTGCTCAGGCATTCCAGCCCTAATGTAAGTCATTATCATCGAACCATATGATCTTTTGTCCAATGGTTCCCCAAGCAGCTTGATCTCTTCGAAAGTTTCTTCAGCCAGATTAAGATTGCCAGACTTACTGTACATGTTAACCATAGCAGTCAGTGTGACCTGATCGCAGATGAATCCTCTTCTCTTCATTGCTAAAAGAGTATTTTTGGCATCTTCGAGCCGGTTTTGCTTCCCATAAAAGTGGATTATTTTAGTGTAGTCTCGGACATTGGGTTCAAAAGATTCTTCATGGAGAGCAAGTTCTGACATCTAAGTGAAATGCAACAACCAAAAGAATAAGTTCATATTAAAGTTTACTTGTATGCAATTTCAAATAAAGATACAGTTTCTATTAAAGAACATTGGGGTCTACAGACGTTGAACACAACCAAGTCAATGCTAGATAGTTTGGGATATAAATCGTGAAGGAATAAAAAGTAGGGAAGAATTAAACACTACGTTTGCACCAAAAGAGGCAAGGGAAAATAAAGGATGCTTATCATTCCTTTTTCTTTTCAGGAGGGAATGGGTAAAAAGTAAAATATATAACATACTTTGGAGAGAGGAAGGGAAAGAGAGGAACAGTGAGCTTTTCCATTCAAATATCCAATCCAGTTCCCCCAGTTGATTGAGAAGAAAAAAAAAAGGGACTAAAAAATTATGAACATACATTGTCCATTACATAGCCTAAAATATCCTGTTAATTGAAACTATTCTTATAATTCATCTTTTTCTTTCTTTCTCTCACCCAAGCAAGAAAAAGAATTACAAGAATCATTTCCTTCCCTTTTCCCAATTTCTAGTTATCCTAATGAAAGTAACATGTTTTGTTTCATTTCCTTAAGAAAATCATATTCGCTCTCCTTTTCTTTCCTCTAGTAACTTTCTATTCAAACATATCAAAAGGATTGCATACATACTTTTTGGGTTTCTGAAGTTTCATACTTAAACAAACATTTTATTCATTCTGAAAAATTCAAAATAATACATCGTTTGTAACAAGGCTAAAAAACCTGCAGCTAGCCATTAGAATGCGAGAACTAAAAAGGCCGATCCAATTAATCATGATCAAGCCTTCTGTAAGGGGTAATATCAACATTTTTATATTATCACGAGAAGAAATTCAATCTAGATGCCCAGAAGAAAGAATCAATATCTTTATCCATTTTGTACAGAAAATAACAGATAAGATTAATAATTTTCATGCAAGGGGGCATATCCCAGTCCAAGTAAGAAATGTGATTGCTTTAGTTTGATAACAACAAGAAATCTCGTGCTGAATTATATAGAATGAATATGGAAATCACAAGAAGGAATTCTTCAGAATGGTTAGTTACACACTTCATTGATCTCATGCAACATTCTTCCAAACAGAGAAAGAAATGGCACCACAAAGCTAAATATTCCCAAAAGAGGGCTCACTTTAATGGGCTAAACACGCAGAGAAGAAGCAGTGTCTACAAAAAAATATAATTTTCTCAGTCAGCTACCGAAGCTAATAAGATTCACTCAAGAGAACAGTGACTACCTTATCTAATTACAAGTAATATATTCAACTCACTTTGTTCTTACTATTTGAGGTCTAAATACAAAATTAATTTTGGTGCAAAACATATAGATGCCACAAGCTACAAAACCTATCAGTCCCTCTTGATTAAGAGGAAGAGGGAATTATTACGAAAAAGAAAATAAAATAAATGAAGACCAGACTTTGAAAATACAAAGTTACAAACAGCAGAAGAATGGAGAAGCCCATGCTAGATATTCTTATCAAAAAAATTTTAAACGAAAAAAGAAAGATAATGTTATGAATGCATTTATAAGGCCTAAATAAGATGTA